CAAACTACTTGGTTGGGGCCCAAATGACTATCATAACCAATGGTTGGAGACTAGATGTCATGGCTCAGAATCGATCACACTCTCTCATCCCTTAAACTGTGAGATTAAAATCGCTTCATATCTTTCATTCTACGAACTAATTCTTTCTTCCTGTACTACATCCTGATACACAATCTTTCTATAATACATTACTACCACTGAAGTGACTACATCGATGAATTTGGTGTTCATCTTGTTGTGTTAGTGCGGTATGGGAACTTGGATCGATGCATATATGTGCCTGGTCCTACGTTGTAGCTGACTGACTGAATTAATGTAACTAGGCTATTAGATGCTACTAATTGTTCGTAGGAAAATATAATACATATTCGTATATTTATTAACCATATTACTTAGGTTTGTTACCAAGACTCAATTTATTGACTAACTTCCATAAAACCATAAAATTCTCTAGTATATGACTGGAAATTATCCCGTCTACTATCAAATACAAAGATCGAGATATATAAAATGTATAACCATAGTTGAATTTTTGAATATTTCACTCGTTCTTACCTGTTAATCCTCTTATCTGTTTCATATATATTTTTGTGAGACTATAATTTATGGACGACCTTTGAGCGACACTGGACTGGCCTTGAGAGTGTCCACCTAATAAATATGATTAAATGAGGGTTATAAATCAGTGTGAGGAATTAGAATTATGATTTACAGTTGATGATTAAGGTTAGGAATTAGACTTACGGTTTTCATCACGAACTGATATCAGTTATAATAGCAAAATTCTATTTATCCAAATGGATGAGTGAACTTCGCGCCAAAATGCGAGATGTGATTGGTCCGTGTATAAATTGTAGTTTCGTCGATATTTTCGCTATATTATTATTGTTATATAATATTATCTAAAGAATATTTCTACTTAGTGATATTATTGTCTTATTGTTTCATCAACTTGCAAACTTACTTACTCACTTACATCTGTTACTCTAATGAAGCATAAGCCGCCGACCAACATTCTTCAGCTCATTCTGTCCTGAATCTTCCTTTCTGGTTCTATTCAATTGTTGTTCATTCTTCTTATGTCTGTCTGTCTATCTCAATTTCTCGGCGTTTTGTGTTCTTAATCAACTTGCATAGTAACCCAATATTATCAATTCAATAACAAGTCCATGAAGTCACTGACAAGTGGACTGAGTCATGGCGGTAGGTGTAGACTACCTAGTTAGGGACCGCGAGGTGATAGCAACCGTTGGTTAGAGACCTTGAATGACATGGCTCAAAATCGTTTGCAATGGTGCACGTGCATACACTCTTTGTGTTCTCCCAAACTTTGATCTCCTGATTCCCCGTTGTCTCTTTCTTTTTCTCTTCCCAAGTTTATTTCATTGTATTATACTCGTTAAATAACATCTCCAAACCCTAATCTTCCAGATTACTGCTTAAACTCTTATTACCTCTACCACTACGGGGTTTGAATCGACAAATGCATCTCTGTGCTAATGTGGTATGGCAACTCGAATTAATGTACGTACGTAAGAAGTTCTACGTTGTTACTGACTGACTGAATTCAATAACAAATTCAAATGAAATATCATCATTTGTATTGTATCCTTTTTCTAAAAGTGTTTTCATTTTACTTATTTCTTATTAAATTGAATTCACCTGTAGGTTAAGCCTACATTAAAACATGTACATGTTCCTTCATATAACTTATAATGTTTACATTACTTAACTATAAATAAACAAAATAAGTCTTATGTATTGAATACCAAAACTAATTAACGTTACATTATTTTAATGAATAAACACACACATACACACACCTAGATTTACCTGATATTATAACAAATCAAAACATTTAAACTTTACACTTTATTACTACTTATTGAAAGGTGGTAAACATGTTCAATAGTAATGAAAAACAAATTTGTTTTTGGGAGTAATGAACTTTTAATGAAACCGGTTATTTTAAACAAATTAATGCAGGTTGTCGTTGTCGTCGTCGTCGTCGCCACTGTTGTTGTTGTTGTTCTTGGTAGTAGTAGTAGTAGTATACACCTTTCATTTACTAATTACTCACATATTTTTTGTTTATAATTAAATAATAGAATGTTTTTTTGTTTGTTTATTCTTGACAGATCTCTTGTTATTGTGTTCCATATTAAGTAGTATAATGCAACATACTTCTCTTTTTGTTCTGTTTTGTTTTGTATTTCTTTGTAATATATGACATTTGAATGAATAATCAACTTTATAAATTAGTGTAATGTTAAACAAACAATTAGAAAACAACAACACATTATGCATGCTGTGTTTACATAGAAGAACAACAACAATAACAATAATGAATGATTACTACTTTTCTGACAATTTATGACGAATTAATCCATCCTAGAAACATGGTATTTAAAGAGTATTACATTATCGTTATGGTATGATCTGATAATTAGGTATGGGTTAATTTTGAATCTTTTTATTAATATCAGAAAAGGGGTTTTGTGGAGATTTTAATGATGTTATAGTTAACTTCATGAGTTAATTGAATTCGGATCATCATGGAAAACCTGGAATCAATGAACGGCTGTTTCGTCCTATTGTGTGACTCCTCAGCAGTGTGCATTTATGATCCCGCCCAGAGAGGTTCGAATCCGGGACCTAACAGTTTCGCGCGCGAACCCTTAACCTCTAAACCACTGAGCCGGCTGGCATCTAGCAGTGTTAATGTCTAGCATCAACCAATCCACGAAATTGAGCCAACGTCAATCATTGTTTTAAGTGATTTACTATCTCACGCCGGTAGAACTCCGTTGGACACTGTTTCTCACTAGAACTCCAGGTTAAGAGCTCACGCACGAGACTGATAGGTCTTGGTTTCGAATCCCACAAGGCGGGGTCGTGAATGCGTACTACTGAGGAGTCTCACAAGAGGATGAAACGGCCGTCCATTGCTTCCAGGTTTTCCATGGTGATCTAGCATCAATTGACTCATGATCTTAACTATTTTTTTAAATGTCAGTATAAAGTATAGAAATAATATTTTCATTAAACTAATCAATAGGGAATTTTATATCGTTGGTAACCTGAATATTTATAAAACTATTAATAGAGAAAAACATAAATCATTTAAAGATTCCAATCATATTAAAAGACTATTATATAGTGAATGAAGAATATCCTTTTTGATTAATTCTCTTTAAGTTTTACAATTCATATATCCAAATTAATAATCCGAAAATTGGTCAGGTTAAGGGTAAAGTACATTGTTTAAAGTGAAAGCATGTGAATTTAGGATTGTTAAACAAAATACTATAAAATTGGCTAAACAAAGGTTTATATAGTGCAAACTGATCATAGTGCTATTATAAACCAATCCTTTTCAATTATTTATTTGGTCAGTAATTTTTTGCCAATGCTGGTCAGGCTTAACGTCCTTCAAATGGCTGAAGAAATAGCCAAGCGGATTAAGAAACCAAAGCTATACGTACAGAATAAATGCACTCAACCACTCCTTCTCTTCTAGGTAACCTCAAGGTCAATTAATCAATAGTAATCTTACCTATTGACTATTGTAATTAAGACCTTTCGTAGTCAATTATAATTGTCTCTGTTATGTTTAATCACAAATCTTATTATTAATATTATTATTATTCAATTGATATTGTTTTGCTTGAATCTTCCCATTGAGGTTTGAGACTGTAATTGATCAGTCTGTTGTTGGCGTATGTGCATTCTGTGCGTATTGAGTCGATATTGCCTTAATTCATAAGCTTTATAGGCAAAGATGGATAGTGGATAACGCGATGGCGTTTGAAGCGAATGGTACTGGGTTGGAGTGCTAGAATGAACATCAACTCTGAGACGCAGGTACATCGAGCTGACGAGTCCCAAATAGCAGTGGTTGAAGATATTTCTTTTGTACGTATAGCTCGGGTTTCTTAATCTGTTTGGCTATTGCTTTAGCCGTTTGAAGGACTTTTAGTTTGACCAGCCTTGGCAAAAAATTACTGACCAAATAAATAATTGAAAAGGATTGGTTTATACTAACACTATGATCAGTTTGCACTATATAGACCAATATCAAGCTGTTCACTTTCTTCATCGAACCTTTGTTTAACCACATTGCCAAACATAAATATTTGAAATCGGAGGTTGTAATAATTAAATGATGTAACCAATTAAGTTAAGAGTGAAATGACTTTACCAAGAGAAAACAGAAAAATTAGAATGATAACATTTAGAACTCAAGCTTCTTTGAGTCATTTTCAAAAGTTACTGAGTAACTGGTATGAAAATAAATGTGATGGTTAGTACCCTACAGAATGAAAAAGTTTGGTTTAACTCTTGGATTTAATAATTCATTTCTTAAATCATAAAGGTATATGTTAGAGATTAAAAGGTTAAGACCTGTTTGCTTAACTACAAATTGTTATTAAAACTCAAATGCATAGATGAGTGAAGTTACCACTAGAACTTAACTATTTATTTACACCTGCCACTCTTCGTAGAGGATCATAGGCCGCCCACCAGCACCCTAAATTCAACCCTATCCTGGGCAATCCTTTCTAGTTATTTCCAGTTGCTTTTCATCCTTTTCATATCTGCTTCTATTTCTCAACGTAATATGTTCTTTGGCCTTCCTATTTTCCGCTTCCCCTCAGGATTCTAAGTTAGAACTTGCCTGTAGCTCTTCTAGAGTTACTGGTGGTCCCAAACCCGGGTAAAGATGTAGGGTTAGGCATGGGGTCGGCAACCTTATCCTATAGAAGAAAAATCCCGCTATAAATACACCAGAATAGTTTTCTTTCAGAAAATGACTTTTGATTTGATGAATTTAAGTATTCTTTCAATAGATCTCCTTAGTTCAAACACTGAACTGTAGTTTGCTATCTCATCACATTCTACTGTTGGTTGTTTTTATCAACGTTTAGAAAATAGAATCAGACGACTGAATTTCTTTTCAAGTCACTACTTAATTATTATGATTATTGTTTTTAATTTAGGAATGGAAATTACATGAACATGTAGAGATTAAGAAACGAATTATTAAACAAGAATATTCTAGTTCAATGAAAAGTCATCCATGTTTATCGGTAACATGTCGAGCAGCTAGACGACCTGGATATTTTTATTGGAATGTATTTCTTATAATGGTAAGATAACATATATTATATATGATGAATGAACTTGTCGTCAATTCAATTATCAATTTATTTTAACACATAGATATTGGTACAAGGAGGCACCAACTACATATGCTCCACACAAATTTCATTCGATATGTGTGAGGACTATGATACTGCCCGGGTGCCCAAACCACAGCAGGTGATTTTCTTAAGGGGCCACACTCGGAGCCTCCGACCTCAAGGTCTGATCCACAAGGTAATGGAGCATCGTAAGGAGATTCAATCCCATGGTAGCCGGTGACCAATGATTGGTCCATACGCCATTTGTTCCCTCAGGATACTGGAGCCCATGTGCACCATTGGTTTAGAATCATGGTTTTCCAAATCCCCTAGGTGGACTTTCCGTGTCCACCAACCCTGTTAAAGCACCGGAAATTCCCCTTTCGTCCTCTCAATTTCGTGAACAACACAGCAGTGAATAGGACTTCCCTGGCAGAGGCTATATACGCGTGGCCATGTGAGAGCATTTCGAGAGGGAGAGCGGACGCTAACCACTCTCGGCCGTACCAGGGCATTTGGGGGCCAATTAGTATACAAAAGCAGTTTATGAATTGTAATTTTTTTTAGATGATTAACTTCAATGCTGTCTGTGAACAAACTGGCTAGTAATGGATTCATCACTATACAATCTACCTGTTAATATATCTTATTGCTAAAGTTAAACTCTGTATTCAAAGTATAAATTCTACTAATTTGTTCTATCAGAAGGGGTTTCATAGAGATTGTAGTAATTTCAATAGTTGAGATCACGAGTCAATTGAAGCTAGACCATCATAGAAAACCTGGAAGCTCCAGACGGCCATTTCGTCCTATTGTGTGACTCCTCAGCAGTGCTTACCCACTGCTGGATGCCGGCCGACTCAGTGGTCTAGTGGTTAAGCGCTCGCACACGAGAATGATAGGTCCTTGATTTGGATCCCGCGATCGGAATCGTGGATGCGCACTGCTGAGGAGTCATACACTAGGACGAAACGGTCGTCCAGTGCTTCCAGGTTTTCCATGGTGCTCTAGTCTCAATTGACTCATGATCTCAACTATTGTAATTTGTTCTCGTTATATAGTAAGGATTTCTAGATCTATCTTATTAATACTGATAGCATTACAAATGAAATAATGAGTTTATCGTAATGGTACTTTTGGCATCTAATGAGATCATCATTCTATTGTTTCAACTGTATGAATGATCCACTTAATAATCGATTGGTAAAGTGATTCAGCCATGTCTACAGTGAAACATATTGGTGACTGAAATCTATGTCACTTAAATAGGCCATGTAGTTTTGATATTATAGAATTTGAATGTTTTAGTTAGTCTAATTCATCGAATGTCTTTTATCGACTTATTTTAGGATCATAGATGAGGACATAACACTAATTAATAATTCAGTAATCAATAATAACTCCATTTTAATTGAAATAGAATATGATGGAGAACAGCTGGTTTGTTTCAATGAGTCGGATAAAAGATCATTGAATAGAGAGACATGAACAAATTTTTCAACTCATCATACATGCGAAAGTCGAGATAAAATTTCAATTCCCAGTCTTAATAAAAAAATTTTCCTGCTTAGCGTTTTGAATAATCGTATGTATATAACTGTTATCCTTTGCCACTGCCATCAGGTCACATATTAAAATGAAGATCAGCTAGTGAATTATGAACCGATAGGCAGCCTGATTGAATATTTGGGCCACTTGTTCCTAGAATCTAGATATTTCAAAAAGTTATCTGTATTTATAAGCAAAGATGGATAGTGGCTAGCAGTGGAATCCAGGACCCGCGTCTCGTCCTATTTGGGAATCGTCAACTGGTTATACCTGCAATCCGTACAGGATGCACATATGCCAACATGAGACTGATTGTTTACAGTCTTAAATAACAATGGGAAAATACAAGTAAAACAACACCAAGTGAATTTATCTGTATTTTGTTTTGCATCAATAGATCATTAAGTCAGTTAATTGTACAACCTATTCATATGGATTTGAGAAACGTTCACGACCTTTCGCTGTACAAGTGAGAAAGAGTACAATCAGAGACATTGTGGTTGCTAGCAACATACTTTGAAAAGATTGTATATTATTCGGATGTCAGATTGTGGAATCGAAGACATTTGTCTTGTTCTATTAAGTACTTGTCAAGTATATTTAATTAAATCATTATTTTGATCTTAATTTTGGAACTCCAACCCAATACCTATCCCTTTAAATGACTCTCAGCTAGTCTACTAAGTTTAAATGCCCACTAAATTGTTCATCAGGTATGATAGTATTAGTAACATTTATAATTTATGGTTATTGATTTAACTAACGAATTTCGATCAGCCATTTCTCATGTATGTACATTTTGAATGATACTACCTTTTGATTACAAGCTTTTATTAAAGTTATATTATGATTATCAATGTAATTCTTGGATCCTGTTTCATTCATTTCGATGTTTCATTATCTCTACAAACAATTAAAATAATAAAACTATTTTCTTCTTTTATTCAGTTCATGATTTCTGGTTTGGCATTTGCTACATTTGCTGTTTCACCGGATAAAGCAGAACTTCGTCTACGTTTATCATTTACATTAATTCTGACCAGTGTCACATTTAAATATGTGATCACACAAAGTTTACCAAAAATTTCATATTTAACTTATATGGTAAGTTATTTATACTTTGTAATACTTCATTTACTGATTTCATCCGAATAGATTTATATATTAAAGATTATAATTGTAACCAATGGTGACATTGTAGGTATCGTTATCGAGGTTTGACTTGATAAGTTCGAATAAATTAAATATTAGGTAGATTGTTATAAATGAAATAAACGTAATATATTCGTGGATATCTCAATGGGTAGAAAATTAAATTTTCTGGCATTTCGTGATTCAGTGTAAGCTGCTTCTTCAGAGTTTTAATAGTACAATGGAACATCACAAAAATATTATGTGTGATCAAACGAAAAAAACCCAGGTCTGAACAAGTCATTGTCATATCATCCCGGTTAAGGTCATTTGTAAGCGTCGTGTATGTAAATTTGTGTGTGTGTATGTGTGTAATGTCAACAATGAAACAAATGTGACCTTTGTATTGATCTGGTTATTTAGTCTCTGAAGAAGTGGCTTACACTGAATCACGAAACATCAGAAAATCTAATTTTCTATTCATTGTGATGTATTGATTTATTTATAATGATATTCTTTTTACAGAGTCTTTCTTAAAATCAGTCGAGATTACAAAGATTGTAGTTGTTCCATTTGATTCAATAAAACATAAATTTCACTGTGAATGAAAATTTTGGCGAAACTATAGTTTATGGACCAACCAATCAGATATACGATAACATCTCGGATTTTAGCGTGAAACTCATTCATCTATATGGCTTAATCGAGTTTTGTCATTATAGCTGATATCGGTTCGTGATGATAACCGTAAATGTAATTCCTAACCTTAACCATCAACTGTAAATCATAATTCTAATTCCTAACACTGGTTTATAACCATCAATTAGTCTTAATCAGTAGGTGTCCACTCTCAATGTTAGTTTAACATCGTTCAATGGTCGTCCATAAATTATAGTCTCACCGAAGTTTTAGTAAAACAGTATATTTATGAATTCTATTCAATATGAAATCAGTCTTTATTACTTTTTATCGCTTCTTTAGTTGAATTTAGATTATGATAACAATGATTATGAAATTGTTTAGGATTAATGGAAAGTCTATTGTTTGTTTGAATCATCCCATTAATGTTTACGACTGCAATTGATCAATTTCAAGATTCGAATAAACAATACAAAATGAGTTATAACTCCATCGGATTGCACAACTAGTTGCTATCAGGAATCAGTGAATAACGTCATGATAATATTTGAAGCAAATGATATTGCATTCGAGTCCCTGTATCAACATCGACTCTAGGATGCAAATAAATCCAGATGATAAGTCCCAAATAGGACAAAATACGTATCCTAGATTCTACTGCTAGCTACCAATTATCTTCATTTATAGAATTAATTTTGTTTATCTTGAAACTAACATTGCACTATGTATGTCATTTGAATGTCCTAAAATTTAGATTTAATTACCATATACTTATTAACAATTAATTGAAGTTAACTTTAATTCGCATCATTTCATTGAAAATTAACCACTAATTTCATGACAGGGTGAAGAACTAGGGAGGGGGTTCAGCTGTTGGTTAACACACACACACACACAGACATTCATGCATGGTTACACATTCAAAGAAATTGCTTTCAGTCGCAACTTTATTTGAACAGTAAAAAAGTTTTAAAAAAAAGAAAACAGAAAAGTGGATTTTTCTGTGTATCACTTCTGAAATAAAAATAAAATTCCGATACATAAAAGTCAAATTTATTTAAAAATTTCGGCCCCAGTGACAATTATTACATCTGTTGTCTGACAGAGAGAGAGAAAGCGAGAGAGGGAGGGATAGGGAGAGAAAGTGAACGAAATTAGCATTTTATATTTATCTGACTTGTACATTTTTTTATTGATTATTTGAAACAAGTTTGATTTTTTTTTCGTACAAAGTTCGGGTTTAAATAAGAAAGAAAAAATTGGACATAATATTGATTTAAGATTTCAATAGAACATTTATGTTATAATATGAAATTAGCTTAGATACTACTGAAAGTTAAAGAGTATTGTACGATGGTTTCGTTCTAGTGTAGTGAGCATCTGCAGTTGATTGAATTTCTTTATGGGAAACAAGTTGAATAAATTGAAGTTAAGGTAATGTCTTATATTCTTGGTGTATAATTTTGTATTAAGAAATTTAAAGCAATTAGTCCATTTGATGAATTTCTATAACGCCCTAGTACGGCCGAGAGTGGGGAGAGTCCGCTCTCCCTCTCGAAATGCTCTCACATGGCCACGCGTTGGTATTGAAGATTCTCACTTTGATATTGGCTGAAAGTTGTTTTGAGTTCCATATGTTCTTTAACTGTAGGAATGCTGTCCTTGCTTTGCTAATCCCTGCCTTTACGTCTGCATCTGAACCTTCTTGTTCATCGATGATGCTTCCCAGGTATGTGAAGGATTCTACATCTTCCAGAGTTTCGCCATCAAGAGTGATTGGATTGCTGTTCTCCGTTTTGAACTCGAGGACTTTGGTTTTCCCTTTGTGTATGTTGAGGCCTACTGATGCAGAGACTGCTGCCACACTGGCTGTCTTTGTCTGCATCTGTTCGTGTGTATGCGATAAGAGGGCTAGGTCATCTGCGAAGTCCAAATCGTCTAATTGATTTTGAGCTGTCCATTGTATTCCGTGTTTTCCCCCAGATTTTGAGGTCTTCATAATGCAGTCGACCACCAGAAGAAAGAGAGTAGACAGCTTTGTCTGACTCCGGTCTTTACTTGGAATGCATCTGTCAGCTGTCCTCCATGCACGACCTTGCACTGTAGTCCGTCATATGAGTTCCGGATAATATTGACAATCTTCTCAGGAACTCCGTAGTGTCGAAGAAGTTTCTATAACGTTATCCTATCCACACTGTCAAATGCCTTTTCATAATCAATGAAGTTGATGTATAGTGACGAGTTTCACTCAACTGATTGTTCGACGATGATCCGTAGTGTTGCAATTTGGTCTGTGCACGACCGATCCTTACGGAATCCAGCTTGTTGATTTCGAAGTTGGGCGTCTACTGCATCTTTCATCCGGTTCAGCAACACTCTGTTAAAGACTTTCCCTAGTATTGACAGTAGTGTGATGCCTCTGTAATTTTTACATTTGCTCAGATCTCCTTTCTTTGGAATCTTGACGAGGTGTCCTTCTTTCCAATCCATCGGCACTTGTTCCTCCTCCCAAATCTTTTTGAATAGAAGGTAAAGCATGTTTATAGTTGCTTCGATGTCTGACTTCAGTGCTTCAGCTGGTATGTTGTCGGGTCCTGCTGCTTTTCCGTTCTTGATTTGTCTGACGGCAATTCTGATTTCTTCCTTCGTTGGTGGTTTGACGTCTATGGGAAGATCTGTGTGTGCCGCTTCGATGTCCCGTGGATTCATCGGAAGTGTAATCTTTAGGCATACGAAAATTCAAATCTCCTTTGTGTATTCAAAAACAGTGTGTTCTCACCTTAAACTTGTCCTGATAATATTGACTTACTATCCAGAATGATCAGGTTTCAAATTGTGTTCACATTATTATCATTATTATTAAAATTAAAACACGAAGTTCTGCGAAGGGATCTCTTTTCAACGAATTTATTATCAAGCTATAATGAGCATTTACGAATAAAATAATGAGAATATAAGACATAAGTAAAGAGGGAATATAATAATAATAATAATAATAATAATAATAATAATAATAATAATAATAATAATAATAGAATAATCAAGATAAATAAGGCCTAGGTGACGATGAGGTTAAGACGTACTTCTTTTGTACGCATAGTTCTGGTTTAAGCTCCTGGATGGTTGGGTCATCATTGGAAACTTGGAAGTACTGGATGGTTGTTTCGTCCTAGTTCATGAACTCTCAACAGGGTATGCATCTATGATCGTACATGTGGGATTCGAAGTCAGGATCTTCCGTCTTGCGCTCGGATGTCTAAACTCTAGACTATTGAGTCGACTTCCAACAGTGTTATTGTCTAACTTCAATCGATCCATGATCTTGAACAATAATTCATCCGCTCTCTTCATCTAAGACCGATTGAACTCCACTGGTCACGGCTTCTCGCTAGAACTTCAGGAAATCCATCTTGAACACAATCACTAGTGAGCACATAATGATTATTATTGGAGTGAGTGAGGGTTTTGTGGAATATTTTTTATTTTTGTAATCTGCGCTATCAGCTAATAAACTGTAGTTGCTGCTTCTTATTGTCTTCTGATTTTAAACACCGTTGAGATTTTTATATTATAACGGTTATTGAAGGGATCGATTAGCGAAGTAAAGTCATGACAAATTTTATAAATCATCAAATAAACTTTGCTATAAAAAAGTTATAATCTATTTCTTGATATTCAATTTCTTTAACTTTCAGGACAAGTATGTTTTAATGTCGTTATTCATCCTGTGTATAATCAGTATTTGGCATGCAGTTGTTACATTGATTGGTTTAGATTTTGATTTACCCGATTCACCTGGATTTGGATCATCTTTACCTAGTACTTCTACAACAACAACTACTACAAGTACTACTAATACTACTGCAACTACTACATCTGCTATTATTCCACCGAATTTACATGTAAATACAACAAATCAAAGCCCTAGATTATATTTTCCTAATCATGATAAATCAGATTCAATACAGTCTACTCCTAATCATACTCAAATGAAAATATCAAATTACAGTAAGAACAGTATATACACATTTATTTTGTTATTGATATTTCTATGATAAACTATCAGTAAACAATAAAATGTAGGTTTATGTTTTAACACAGAGTGATATCAATTTATGAATAAACAAGCGAACAAACTAAAGATAAGTTTACAGTTTTTTGTTGTTGAGATCATGAACAACCAGTGAAAACTTGAAAGAACTGGACGATCGTTTCGTTTTAGTACGGGAATTTTAAGCAGTAATTCCCGACGGTTCTACGAGTTTCGATCTCGTAAGCGGACGGTTAACCTCTAGAAAACTAATCTACGATCCAATGATGTATAAGTCTAATTTCAATTGATTCGTGATCTCAATAACATTTAAGAATATCCATAAACCCATACTAATAATACACATTAATTTCAATTGAAGATATGAATGTTACGAACATAAACTGTACGATTGTTTACGTTTTGCACCAATACAACTAAACGGAGACTAATTTAAGTTTGGTTTGTCTCAAGAGACAATTCGGATAAGAAAACTTAATGACACCATAATTTATAAACAATCTTTGAGCAATGCTAAAATAACCTTGGAATGTGCACCTAATTACCAGGGTTAAATGAGGTTTATAGATCAGTATGAATTAATCAGGATTTAGATTTACAGTTGGACGTTAGCGTTAGGAATTAGATTTGATGTTTTTATCACGAATTGACATAAGCTGTAATTCCAAAATGATACTTAACCAAATGAGTGAATGAATTTCGCGCCGAAATTCAAGTAATCCTATGTTAAATGTGATTGGTTCGTTTATAAATCATAGTCTCGAAAACTTCATTCGAACTGAGAAGATCTATCATTAGAGCAGGAAATTCAACTTCTTGAACATAAACTAAACTATGATAGTACAACTCGAAATGTTTGTTAGAAATACTATATGGGGTACAACACGAAAATGTCAAGATAATAAATGTGTAGGGTCAGTGAAATGTCACTGAATATCGAACAAATCGTCGATCCCTATCAAGGTCAAGGACAATCAACTCGCATCAGTTAATCGTACGCCATGGACTGGCCCATGCGGCAGTGGTTTTACTTTCGATTTTATCTGCGTTAACTAATATATTTCTGTAATAACGAACTCTATGTTATACAGTCTTCAAAGCCTTCATAGTACTTTAATACGTGTAAGGAGTAGTCTAGGTTAGATGCTGACTGCGAGGTGTGAATTAAAAGTTAGCTGTTTCGTCACACCATTCCCGTCTAACTCGAGTAGGCCTCCAATCGCTCGACATAGATCATCTGCAAAGGAATAGAAATTGGCTTTAAAAGTCGATTTCATCATATAATTAAGGAAGAAATAGTAGATAGATTACAGTAAGTAAAACTTTGGATTCCTGACATTTCAGAACTTAATGTAAGTTACTTCTTCAGAGTAAATAACTGAAATAACCAGACTGAATTAATACAAGTATACATGGTCTATATAAACGTCAGAAATTCGAATTCCTAATCACAGGAATATTACGAAAATATAATTGTTTCATTCTTACTAACCTTCTATTCAATGCTTAATTTATTTAACACTATCAAATTCAACTGTGATATGGATATATAGATAAATTCAAAGCTCCATTGTTGACATCTAAGCAATTCTAAGTCTACTTTCCTTGATCAAAGATACATAATTCATGAAAATATAGTGAAGGAGAATGATGTGAACAGGTAAACAAGAAGCCTTGACTATCTGCGAAAGCTATTTTTCGGGACGTTATTTCAGTTAATTCAAAGCTTGTAAAACATTAACATTTATTTTTGTCCCTAATCTATTCTACAGAACATAATCTTTCGTTTGATGTAGGATTCACTTTCATAGCTCTATTCTGTTCCGAAGCTAATGTAATATTTGGCACCCTATTTCCTACGCTGATTTCCAGCTTTGGACATAATTGTATTTTTCCTAATTATTGTAATTATCCTCAGCACTAAAAGTGGGTAGATAGATTAAAGACGTAACAAAGACTATTTCAGAAAATGAAACAAAATACAAATTAAAAATCATCGAGTGAAAAACTCAATTGATTATGCAATCAAGTATTTGAAATCAAGTTGGAAAGAAAACTATGAGAAGGGCGATGATGATACTACAAATGTTTCTTTTGAACAAATGAACTAAGTTTTAAATGTTGAATAGTTCTAGTGTAGTGAATGAAAACACCAGTGAGGACAATCAAGTACATTTCAATACAAAACTACAGAACATCTTTGTAAAATCTGAAAACAACACAGTAATCATTCACTTTTCTCATTCTCTTTTCTTCCATCTTCTCAACCTTCTGACTTCAAGCATCTCACTTTCGATTAATGATACATTCTATTTATAGCTGCTGGCATCAGTAACACACACCAAGGTAGCTTTAGTAAATTTAAGCGAAATGTTTGGCGGTTAAGAAGATCAAAGGAAAAAGAACTGGAACAGAAAATGATTGGTGTGGAAATGAAGGGAAAATAAAGTCTGAGACAATTGATTGACATTTTGCAAATGAAGTATTTATTGTATGGTTCTCAGATTTTACTAAGAGATTTTCTAATTTTGTGTTGTTACATTGGATTGTCCTCATTGGTGTTCTCTGTTATGTCCTTTGGTCTGTCTACCCACTTCTGGTGATGCGGATACGTATCTAATCCAGATTAAGACCTTGACGTGATAGGCTGACCGGCTTAACCTTGAGGCTAGTACGCGTAAGTTCGAAGTGAGGTATAGAGAAGTAAACCATTCTATCAGCTGACTGGCTGATAATCACGTGAATTAGATAAGACAAGTCAACTGGAACACTACTCTATTTATTCTCAATTCCGATCTGGTTCCTGATTTCCGATTAGTGTAAAAAGATGCATGAATAACTAGATGACTAACCAGACCAAATTATACAATAATTAAGAAAATACAATTAAGTACAAAGCTGGTAATTAGAGTAGAAAATAGAGTACAAAATATTATGTTTAAATTACAATAGCTTCGGAACAGAAAAGGGTATGGCAATGAATCATACATCGAACGAAAGATTATGTTCTGTAGAATAGATTAGGGACAAAAATAAATGTTAATATTTTACAAGCTTTGAATTAACTGAAATAACGTCCCGAAAAATAGCTTTCGCAGATTGTCAAGGCTTCTTGTTTCCCTGTCCACATCAGTCTTTTTTATGTGATCTTTATTTGGAACACTTCTTTCTCAATATGATTAATGTTGAATAAACTCTTTGATCTATCAATGATTATAAACATTCAAATCTACTCGTTTTTACTGAGATAGATACATTAACATCTATTGATAATTGTAAACATCTGATAAGAAATGAAATTGATCCATATAGTTTTACCTAAATTATTTTGTCAGTACAGCTTTGTGGTGGTTGTTGAGTTTTGATTGAATTTATGAATCGATCAATGTTAGACTATCATTGAAAACTCCCATTAAAAATATGAATTGGTTGAAGATAGACATTGATAGACGTCCACCCACGAGATCGAAGGTCCTGGATCCGAATCTCGCATGCAGGACCGTGGATGGGCACTGCTGAAGATTGCCATATTAGGACGAAACAACCCCCCGTGAGCTTCCGGGTTTCCAACAGTGGTCTAACATTGATCAATTCATAATCTCAAATAAAATCTTTATTCACATTAACAAAGGGAACGATGTGTATTAATATGGGAATAGTTTATGATGAACTTGTATTATTATTTTATGCAGTGTCAGTAACAAACCTAGAGAAGGCCTCGTATTTATTTATTTAATTTTAATCATCATCATGTAAGACTATCATTTATGGACGACCTTTGAGCGACACTGGACTGACTTTGACAGTGTCCACCTAATAAATAGGACTAAATGAGGGTTATAAACCAGTGTGAGGATTTCCAATTATGATGTACAGTTGATGTTCAAGGTCAGGAATTAGATTTAGGGTTATCATCACGAACCGACATTAGCTATAATGCCAAAACTCTATCTAGCCAAATAGATGAATGAATATCACGCCAGAATCCAAGATGTGTTATCTTATATCTGATTGGTTCGTCCATAAATTATAGACTTGACGATTTACAAATAACTTAGCAATGTATAATGTAAGTCATTTTCAAGTACATATTATGATCTAAATAGTTCATTATGTTATGTTAATTTTATTTTAGAGTTTTCAAATACATCTGAAATATCAGAACAAATGAATAATTCAGATGCATTGCCTTCATTGCATAATCTCTCATCATTATCACCATTGTCTTTGTTATCTATTCCGTCTATGTACAATAATCTATTACAGAATGATTCCTTTACATTATTATCTAAAACAGGAACATCATTGATGACGGCAACACCTGTTAATCAAACATTCAACTCTTTATTAAAAGAACAAAACAATGGATGTAGTCGGACTAATCGTATGGCATGTTCCGATTGGAAAATGGTACAACAAATAGAAAAACATGTATTCACATCATTTGTTACAATTTATATATTGGCACATGCAATTTTTATATTTTGGCTTTATTTCGATGTAAGTTATCTTGGGGCAAAAATGGTAAATTTAAAAGAATACATTGTAATATAATTTTATTTAAATCTTATCTAATCCCTGTTAAGTTACCAGCATCATATTATGGTGTGTGTTGATATAAGTAGTATATGACACTAGTCAGAAATGAAATGTCTAAGAGTAGAAAATTGGGAAGATCAAATCGAAGAGAATGGGTATAGAGAGTGATTTTTATGGAAATGAAGAAGCAATAACGTTTAAAACAGTTGATGAACATTTTTTAAATGAAGTATTGAACGTATGGTATTTACAAGTTGTCGCAACTTATGTTTCTGTTCATTACAGAATAACTTAAAGCTTTCACGTACATGTATGTGAATGAGGTCTAATATATTAACAAAGAATTTAGATAGTAATAATGAAAATGGCTTTACCGTTAAATGAATTCAACTCAATACTAACTTATAGTACGTCCGATAATGTTCGGTAAAGAGGAATTACTGGATAGAACTCTCTATCTCTCTCTCAGGATCAATAAATGTTACAGTTGCTCAAAATAAAAGACTGAAATACTCTCGTTTAATTGAGATAATCATGATCGTAGAGAAGGAACATCCTTACTTACTGTTACTCCCAATGGAGCACAGGCCACCGACCAGCATTCTCCAACCCACTCTGTCCCTGTCCAATCATTCTACTTATTCATTATTCATAAAAGTTACATTAATATTTAAAAGAAAACTAATCTCTAACTAAAAATGACACCTATTCGATAAATTTTAATAATCAATAAAATCTGTTAAAATAGGAACTACTATAGCCAACACTCCTACGGTTAATTTTGATCAAACCCTTTTATTAACTTATTTAACAGACATTGTTATTCGAACGGTAATAGTTCGTCTACTTATTTGTATTATTATGATCATTATTATGTTTGTGTAAAGGTGTATGCTTGATCACATATGACAACCTACCTACATATCTCTCTCTAGCTAAAATGTTAGTCTCTTAAATATCTTTCGATGAATCATTCTTGTTCCAATGTCTATATGTACTCCAAAACCTATTATTAGCCTTTGTCTTACCTAGCTGCGCCTTGATACGATTTGATTAGTAAATTTACTTTTGTATTCTCTCATGTACACACATTTTCCTCTCTGCTTCATAATCGTTCGATTTGCTTATAACTTTGTTACCTGTACTGTTCGCTAATAAACAACAGTCACCGCTTCTTATTACCTTCTAAATTCAAACATGATTATCAAGGTGACTGATTAAACGAAGCTAAGTTACTACACTACAACAAGATTATTTTATAAAACATATAAAAATGTGTCATTTTGTTGAGGATTTATGATAACAATAATACAATTTCATGACTTCTGGAAATGAACACATGTATAATTAAAGAATTAAAAGATGATATAGAAATAAGTAACATATGTTTGTCTGACATAATTAAAAGACATAAAATGTCAGCATATACTTGAATATAATTTAATTGCATTCTAAGTATTAACAACAGTAACCATGGCAACAACAGCAACAACAACGATAGCAACAACAACAACATAATGTTGTATATTTGAAGTCTATGAGTGTTGTTGTTGTTTAAACATCTGTATTAAGTAATTACTCAGTGATTATTATTATTATTACTATTCTATTGTAATCGGAATGTAATATTAATGTTAAATATAATTAAAACATAGTCATAGCAGTTTTCTTTATTCCAAAAAAGAATTTATTATTGGAATAGAAAAAAGTACAAATTTTGGTGGAGTTTAGTTTTCTGAGCTGGATGGTTTGGTCGTGGAGCTTTCATCGTTCTTCTGAACGACATCATCAACACAAACTTCAGATAGAAGTGAAGTGTTTGAATTTCTCCGTATGTGTCTCAAAGCTTGTTCTGTGCACCTCGACGTTGACTGGTTCTTATTGACCTTAAATTTGTCGTTGTTTACTTCTTTGTTTTGGTTGTGTCTCCCACCATCTCAAAAGTACAAATTCTTACCGTAGTTACTGTTGGGTGATGGTCGAAAATGATCCACAGAATAAAAACTTGAATTTTAGTCGAAGTTTGAACAACTGTCTTGTTTTTTGTAAGGTTAAAAGCAAGATCTTTAGGGTATATATAAGCATAATATAGACTGTACACTAATAATCATGATATATTTGGATTGTGATTAGAAATAGAATCTAGGACCTGCACTTATTCCTATTTGGTGATGGTTCACTATATGAAATGAATATCATGGATTTCAATGTTAACGACGATCTGTAGTGTTGGTTGATATAGTTAAGCCTATATACTTTAGCTTCTGGATAGTCCAATTTATCCATTCTTCTTGAGTCACGTTTTAACGTTGTTAATTATTCACTTATCAACCTTGACTGTTTTTATTTGTGTGTACATCTTATCCTACTCACCACATGTCTGTAACTTATTTTTGTGTGACTTTAAATATCGATTAAGGCTTGATTAAATGGAGGTGGCTCATATGCCTTCTACACTGCGCTTTGTTTCGCTCACTTCTTCCCTTCCATTACTACGTCTCTCTGATTATCTGTTCCGTTCAACGATTGTATAAAATATATGTTTTGGAAAATCCATTTTCGAATTCGGCTTATATAATTCCATTATTCACTAATGCGATCTAAATCGATAATTATGTACGAGGATTGACGATATGTATAATTCGACAGCAATCAAGCATGCGATATAACTGGAGTCATATCCCTGGCTTCTAAAGTGGTGAGTTCGTCGACAACATTGTCCGGTCTAATTGACATCTAAATGAAGGGCCACTAAAGATCCAACTTAATAAAAACATGTAAAGAAAGCCTATATACTTATGTCGTATTGGCTTTTCTTCATTATTGTAAAATAACATACTAGTAACCGATAGTCTATTTAAAAATAGTGTAAATTCGATATTAAACTTATGTTAACAAGTAATCTTCACTGTTTTCAATCCATTCTGTCCCGAACCTTCCTTTCTAATTCTTCACATGTCTGTCTCTAGTTCTCGGCGTAATATGTTCATTGATTGTCCTCTTCTCCTTTAACCTTGAAGATTTCAAGTTAAGGTTTGCCTTGTGATGCAGTTGGATACTTTCCTCAATGTCTCAGTAGGAAAATAACTTTGAACGTTTTCTTTTGCATTTTATCATCGTTCTAAAGATTATCCAATAAACATATCCCAATGTAACATTAAGATGTTTTTCTTTCTAAAAATAAACCCACTGAAAATCATATCAAGATGGTTATCATTGAATGTTTATTGTCATGAAATGGATCCAAATGTAATAGATTAGTGTACTAGTTGTGATGTTTATTATTCCTTTTTTTACTTTGGTTCATTATTTATTATACACATTTAATGTTGCACTATACTTTTCCGTCGAACTACCGTTTATCACTTTATAAGTTAACTATACTTAGGTAGTTTATTTTTTGGGAATTAGTTATTTACATTGGTAACAAACAAAAAAAAGGAAAATAACTATCCATATGAATTTATAACTTAAGATTACTTAGTGTGTTAGAGCAATGCTTATCTTTGAAGTTCAACAGTTAGCATCAAAAGCTTGCGGTGAATGGGCATTCCCTGAACTCTTATTTTTCCATCCCAATTATGTAGAACATCGAGTTGAGATCGAATTTAATATATTGTATATTGGTGTGTTGTAATAAATTATTGTATAAAGGCTTTACTGCTAAATGGACGTGTATTTAAGTTAACTATCACATTATGGATCAAATAATAACAGGTTTCACAGTGGAATATTTCATCAATCAGTCAGTTGGGTGTTTTACAACACAGAATCTGATATATACCTTGCACAGCATTAGGCTGTCCATAATGAATATTAAAGTAATAAATGTAACTATTAAATTAGCTTTAGTAAAAATGATTTAGAAATGGAAAATTATTTCTTAAGATGGAAACTTTAGAACTCAGCATCTCATAGAATGCAAAGAATGGATACATACAATTATTATCTCAGTAAAGATATAAATTTCAAATTTGAAAGTCATATTTGTCAGTGGAGATAATACGTGTCGGGTAGAACCAGGTATCTACCTCAGATAATGGAAGTTAGTGGTGAAATTTCGTGGACTGGTTAAGGTTAGATATTAACACCATTGGATGCCGGCCAGCTCAGTGGTCTAGAGGTTAAGCGTTTGCGCGCGATACCAAAGGCTCTGGGTTCGAATCTCGCGCGGGGTGGGATCGTGGATACGCACTCTCATCTAAATATGTTTAAAATTAAATATTTCTGTCGTCAACAGATGATTTGTAAAACAAAAAGAAAGTATCAGAATGGAGTTTTGTGGATATTGTAATTACATTGTAATAGTTGGATTCATGAATCGATTAAAGCTAGATCACCATGGAAAACCTAATATCACTTGACAGCCGAAGGTCTTGATTTCGAATTCCACGGGATAGGATCGTGGATGCGCACTGCTAAGGAGTTTCACAGTAGGAAGAAATGGACGTCTAGTGTTTCCAGCTTCTGTGTGATGGTCTAGCTTTCATAAATTCATAAATTCAAATATTAAAAAAGACAGTGTTTTGTTTCACTGTAAACAATTTACACTTGTCGTTTATTGACTAACTGACATCTCAGTGATTATACCATATAGAAATAGAATGTTATTCTAGTATATATTATTTGAACGGTAAGTTTAAGATTAATTATCATTTACTTAAGCCATTGGTATTATAGATTGTTATTAATTGATTTACATATATGAGAATTATTCAAATAATCTTTTATGTGATTGTTTTCGATTAAACATTTTAGGCAAGTAGACGTAGACGAGAAATGACACAGAAGGATAAAGATTATAGGGTAAGTTTAATATTTTTCTACAAACTATTTTATTGATTTCCCTGCACTCTTTGTAATTGTATTAAATTGTTTATTAATAATCAGTGATTTTACATGTGGATTAGAAACGTAGTTGATCTTTATCGAATGATTTGGGGGATTAGTCGAGTTAGACAGGTATGGTGAAACTGACCAGCTAACGTCGAAGCCACACTTCATGGTCAATACCTAATGTAGATTATCACCTCGTCGTATCCGGGTACAAAACCTGCTTTGATAGCCGTAAAACATATAATGTCATTACTGAAATTTATTAGTAGTTAGTAGTTAGAAGAAACAGAGTGCGATAGTTGCTGTATGAACCAATCCATGGTGTGCTATGAACTAATACGCGTTGATTGTTCCTGACCTTGTCGGAGATTTCTGAACTGTTCAACATTTGCTAACCAGACTACAAGGTGATCTGACTAAGGCCCAATGACATTTTATTGGCTCTACATATACAAAAAGTATAATTACATTTTACATGGATAAAAGTCATTTTCGAAATAACGGTGATTAAATTTTACTGATAAAATTAGTAATTTGTCATTCAACGAATGCTTTCAAAGCAGATTCCCTTTTTCACAGTACCTACAATGTTTCTCTATAGTATCAATAAATTGTAGGGATTGTTTAAGTTGAACACTAATAGTGTAGGTTCCATAAGAAAACAGAAGTAAGTTAGATTGGTAAAATCGAAGGCATTGATATTAACCTGATTTGTTTCACCATAGATATTTTTTTCAAATTTTATGTTCACATATCTTAGCAACATTGTTTTGTTCAATCAATAATACAAGGAAACAATGAAGTTGTCTTGTTAAAAACAATAAAAATAAATTTTAAAGAGAGAAAGAACAAAGATTGGTGCAGAATAATAAATGAATTCATTTTATTTCGTCCGGTTCTCATCAGTTGCTTACAACCTAAAATATTTGAAATTCAACTTTATTATAGATATTGACATACTTATACATGAGAGGGTAATGAAGGATGAATATAGGTATCATGATGTAGTGAAGATTCCGATAGAGTTAATGAGGTCATAAAAATCGTTTGTTTCGGATAAATAAAGTTTGAGAGGGAAGGTTCCAGAACATTGAAATAGTGATTAAAACTCATAGAATTAAAATAAAAACGTCAGAAGTAACTGAAAATAGATTCATGGTAATAAAGAAAGATATGAATTCAAATCAGTCAGTTATGAATGATGTAATTTTAAAAATTCAAAAAAATTTGCAATAGTGAATGACGTAACAAATAAAAGGTGAGGGGGTCAATGTTACCAAGGCATAGAAAGATTTATTACTGTTTCTTTTTGTATACATAGATCTGGTTTTATACGTTTGATTCCTATCGCTTCAGCAAATTTCAAAAGGTTTGAATTTGATTGTTTGTTGATCACTTTGAAGGACTTCAATATATCGACTTCACATCCTGTGTCAAGGAGATGTCTTGCGATAGCGCTGCTTAATGCTTTAGTCCATTTGATCTCAAACCCTTTGGAATATGTTCTTTGAATCGGACGTAGGCTCTAATTTGCTTTATAACTTCTGTGTACAGTACTTTCTCTATACTTTTTATTCATCTATCTGAATATGTATACATAGATAGTGTTTTTTTGGCATTTTATAATGTAATTGTTAAGGAACATCCTATTACATAATCAGTTTTAGAATAGTTTGAATATATTTATTCTTCTATTTATTTCACCATTCTTTGTTAGCATTACTGATATTATTCACTGACATTTAGTATTGTAATTGATTAGTTATTATCTATGATTAACATACTATATACTTTAATTTCAAAGAAGTACTTGGATGCTTTTCTTGTACATAGAGGATTCGGCAAAGATAATTTCCTTTTCGATGAAATCATTTCCTTAAACTGTACATTCATATTTATAGTTACATGGAAAATATAAGTCTATAGAAGCATAGAAAAGATTGCATCATCAATTGATTTGAGATTCTTATTATCAAATGAGGTTACACAATAATCAAGGAGTAAGGAAGGAATATAAGTTCACTTGGTATTGTTTTGCTTGAATCTTCCCATTGAGGTTTAAGACTGCAGTTGATCAATTTTTTGATTAGCGCGTTTCGATATTGCCAATTAGGACGAAACGCACGTCAAACAGGATTCCACTACTAGCCATTATCCATCTTTGCATATAATGCTTGTGAATTAAGGCAATATCGAGACAATACATATAGTATGAACAATTGCAATCCTCATCATCAATCGGAAGATTCAAGTAAAACAATACTAAGTAAAACAAAATTCACCCCATTGCACAATCAAGTGGCTACCAGGACTCAGTAGCTAAGTGGAGAACGCGATGGTGTTTGAAGCGAACGATGCCGGGTTCCAGTCCCGGGTCGGACGTCAATCCTGAGATACACGTACATCCAGCTGACGGTACCCAAATAGGACGAAACACGCATCTTGGATTCTACAGATAGTCACTGTCCATCTCATTATTATTATTAATATCATTATTATTGTTATTATTATTATTATTATTATTATTATTATTATTATTATTATTATTATTATTGATTTGATTATTGATTCATAAGTCTGTTTCTGGTGAAGTTAATGTACGTGGATTATCGAAGATATTACAGATGGAAATCAGTTTGACTCTGCTAAATGGTAGAGTAATTTTTAATTGATTAATAACCAAGTTCAGAACTTTATACATCATTTCTTTTTAAATATATTCACTTTCGAAGACATACAATGGTCATTGACTAAGTATAGTATATTGCATATCTGAAGATTAACGTATTATCGCCTTTCAAAAACTACTTTTGGTTATGTTCTGAGGTATGTTTAGAAAGCATTTATTTGGTACGGTCGATGTAATTTACTTTACAAGAGTGTATATACATGTAGTTACAGATTAATGTGACCTTAAACGGAAGTTTCACCTTAACTAAGGTCATGCAGAAGACAATTCAAAGCTTCACTAAATAGATTGATTTTCTAACATTTTACAATCCTGTTTATCATGATTTTCTCAGCAGTATCTCCTTTAAATTCGATATTCATGAATGGTGGTTTCTTTTGAAATAAGGATAATCTTTCAGATTGTACCTTCAGTTTCATTCTTCTATCAACGAACTTTTCTTAAGAAAACCCATTTCTAGTGAATATTCTTCGGAGTTCAAGTATTTCATTGTCTATTTTATCATTGTGAAATATTCACTTAGCCTTCAAAGTCTTTGACTAAGTTGATTTTTACTTTATGCTCATTCATGTTCTAACCAGTAGAAAGTAACTACCAATGAATTCATTTACTAAATGTAAATAATATTCTCTTTCATCAGTCACTAGGCTTTATTTCCAATACTTCATGAAGAATGGATTTAATCAAACGACTTTGTATTATTATAATCAGTTAAAATAACTTAACATTATGGTCAAATTAGACTTACATAAAGTAGATGATGAAAATCAGCAATAAGTCGAACCCCAATCTTCTATTCAGGGAAACGATAATAACCTTGAGAAGTTCATATAAATGATATCTAATGGCATAATAAAAAATCATAAGAACTTCAAGTTGAATATCCTTTATTACCTATCGTAAAACACAGATAGAGTTCACTGAGCAGTTCCACTATGTTAGTCGGAGAATTTCGAGACATATCAGAAGGGGTTTTGTGGATATTATAGTAATTTTAATATTTGTAGTGGAAATCAGTGACCAATGGAGTTGTTGTGTGATAGTAACTTACTGATGACAATGATAGATATGTAGCTCAATTTCATGGATTAGTTAAATCTAGACATTAACTCCATTGAATGTCGGCTCCATGTTCTAACGGTTAAGCGCTCATATGCGAGACTGATAGATCCTAGATTCAAATCTTGTGAAATTGGATTGTGGATACACACTGCCACTGAAGAGTCCCATAATAGGACGAAACAGTCATCCAGTGCTTTCAAGTTCTCCATGATAGTGGTCGAGCTTCAGTTGTCTCATGATCTCAACTATCAACATATATATATCTGTATCTTTCCAAAGTATTCTATATCATAAATTGAAATTTGAATTATCATCAACTTTGAACTTATCCTTATTTTTCTTCTATATTCTCTTTTTTTTTATTTACTGCATGTAATTCATTATTGTTCATTTATTGTTTAAATGTTTCACAATGTCAATAATAAAATACAAATCAAAATATTCTTCAATGCCTGTATTGTTTAACTGAATATCATTTTGCATGTATAATTCATGTCAATTATGTGTAATTCATATGGATATTATTTCATATTGTTGCTAACTAACTATCTATTTAATATCTATACACTTCAATAATAATCAATGGCTTTATTTGTTACCTATCGGTTACGTCATAATATCTGTATCTATATATGTCTGTTATACGTTTAAACTAGGCATTTTTACAACGTAATCGTCAATGGCAAAATATAGAGAAACCAAAAGATATGCATGCAACTAATCAACATTCATCAATTTCATTACAAACTGCATGTTAATAAATAAGAATTGAAGAGAATTCATTCACTATTTATGACAATGTATAAATCCATATGATGACAAATATAATCTCTGTTCAGTTTTTGTTTTTTTCTTCTCTTTTTTTTCTTCTTTTTTTATTATTTCAATTCCTTTAAACGTCGTCACATAGTAACTTATACTTGTTCCGATGATTACGTCATATAAGGTTGTATTTCATTTAAAATATTGAATGATCAATTATGATGTTTATATTTTTAATTCATGTAGGTTATTGTTCCATAACATTGATTTTTTTGTATCTAAGCTTCTGTTGTTTTTGTGTGTGTGAGAGAGAGACTTTTGTTAAATAACTGATGTATATGGTTGATATATTGACTATATAGAATGCTTGTTAGATTTATTGGATCTATTCATAAAGAAATAGAATAGATCATGGGTTCGAATCCCTCAAGGGCAGGGTCGTGAATATGCATTGTTA